ACTGCTTTCGGGGATCCCGATCGAATGCGTACGGCTAGAAGGAATCTTAGGAACATCCGTCAACGAAATCGAACGTTCGCCGATTATTTTGCTGAGTTCCAACGATATGCTGCTGAGTCGGGTATGGATGAAGTCTCTCGGATTGAGGCTTTGATGGAAGGTATTAATGCGGAACTCGATGAATCAATGATACACCATGACACTCCCGCAACGGTAAATGCTTGTGCGACACTCCTGCAACGGTTGGATAATCGTCGCCGAGCGGCAGAAGCTAAGCGAGGAAGTAAAAAACCTTGGACTACTACTACTACTCCGGCCCCTCGTCCTTCACCAGCAAGTCCTGTTTCTGCTCCCCGCGCTGCTGCCCCAGTCGCCAATGCACCTGTTACTGAAAGTCATCCCTCATCCCGCCCGGGAGGTGATGTACCAATGGATCTATCTGGAGGGCGTCGTCGCCCCTCCCCTACTGAAAGAAATGCCCGCTTAGTTGAGGGCCGATGTTTTTATTGCGGAGGTGTTGGACATATGGTTCGGGATTGCCCCCAAGCGAGGGCAACTGGAAATCAACCAAGGAGGCCTGTGATGAGAGGAGCAGCGTTGACAGTGGAAGAAAATGATGGAAGCGATAATGAGTCGGCAAAAGATTTGTCCCTGCACTAAGTGGCTTAGCCCAGGGACCGTTTAAGGATTTTTCTAGGATGTGTATTTCTGGTTTTTCGGTATCAGAGGAGGAAATGGATGGAAATCAACTTGTAATAACTTGTTCGATTTCACAGAATAAAAATTCGTTTATACCTACCTACGCCCTTATTGATACCGGAGCATCAGGATATGCTTTCATTGATGAATCTTTTGCACGCCACAACAATCTTACAATGACCCCTCTTAAAATACCTCGCCATGTAGACGTTATAGACGGAAGACCTATTAAGTCAGGAAAAATTACCCATATTGTCGATGTCTCGCTAGACATTCACGGCCATCAGGAGACGGCGCCATGTTTTGTAACGAAGTTAGGACACTATCCAATTGTGATGGGAATACCTTGGATGCGACGACATGATGTTACGATTCGACCGAAAGAAAATCTACTTGTTTTTGACTCTCGAAGCTGTTGTCAACACTGTTCACTCAGTGGAACTGCAGTTATTGTTCATGGTATCTCGATTCCCTTACCGGAACACCATACAATCATCGTTTCAGCAACTGAGAAATCCACTGTCGATATTGAACAATTAGTACCGAAAGAATTTCACCATCGTCTCCATATGTTCAAAGAATACGATGCTTCAATTCTCCCACCACATCGACCATCCCATGATATCGAGATAATATTGGAGGAAGGCAAACGACCACCATATGGACCTATATATGGATTATCTCAAATTGAGTTAAAAGCACTACGAGAATATCTTGATGAAAATTTACCCAAGGGATTTATTCGAGCCAGTGAATCACCAGCGGGAGCACCTATACTGTTTGTGAAGAAAAGCGATGGAACCCTTCGACTGTGTGTTGACTATCGAGGCCTAAATGCGATTACAATTAAAAATCGATATCCATTACCATTGTTAAAAGAAACCCTGGCTAAGTTATCAAGAGCACAATACTATACTAAGTTGGATTTACGATGGGGATATAATCAAATCAGGATAGCAGAAGGAGATGAATGGAAAACGGCTTTCCGGACTCGATATGGACATTTTGAATATACAGTAATGCCGTTTGGATTAGCTAATGCCCCTGCCACATTTCAGCATTGGATCAATGATATTCTACGTCCCTACCTCGATCAATTCGTAACGGCATACTTAGACGATATCCTTATCTATTCCGAAACTCTATCAGAACATAAAAACCATATTCAAAAGGTTCTAAAGGTACTTGATAAGAATCATGTTCACCTTAAACCTGAAAAATGTGAATTTATGGTTCAGGAAACAAAATACCTTGGTCTAATCCTTACTCCGGATGGGAATAGAATGGATCCAAAGAAAGTCGTTGATGTTTTGGAATGGACCACACCGACAAACCTTCGTGATGTTCAAGTATTTCTAGGATTTGCAAATTTCTATCGACGATTTATTCTAGGATATTCAAAAATTGTTGCTCCACTTACAGCTTTGATAAAGAAAAACGTTAAATTTGAATGGACGGATGAAAGGGAGGAAGCATTTCAAACCTTGAAAAAGATGTTTACAACGGCACCGATACTAGCTCATTTCAATCCGGATTGGAAAATTGTGATAGAAACCGATGCATCCGACTATGTTTCAGCAGGAATCCTATCTCAACGAGATAACGAAGGAATCCTACATCCAGTCGCTTTCTTTTCCAAGAAACATTCTCCTGCAGAATGTAACTACGAAATCTATGATAAAGAACTTTTAGCAATTATACGATGTTTCGAAGAATGGCGACATCACCTGGAGGGAGCTCAATTTCCAATTGAAGTTCTTAGCGACCATCGGAATCTTGAATATTTTATGACAACAAAATTGTTAAATCGTCGACAAGCCCGTTGGTCGGAATTTCTTTCACGCTTCGATTTCGTTATACAATTTCGACCAGGAAAACAAGGAACAAAACCAGATGCATTGACTAGGAGGTCAGGTGACCTACCTAAAGAGAGGGATGAACGGTTGACGCATCAGAGTCAAGTGATTCTGAAGCGAAAAAATTTGGATACTAAGCTAAGTTTGTTCGCGGGTTCTTTGTCAAATGAATCCGCTGAAGGAGCGTCCACTGTAGAGGAGTTATTTTCAAAAGCTTACCAAGTGGACAGTTTCCCGAATAAGATCCTCGCTATGCTCCGGAACGGCGTTCGTCACTCGAATAAGATTTCACTCGCCGAATGTATAGAAGATAACAACGGTCGGCTACTTTATCGAGGCATGCTATATGTACCAGACGATGATGACCTTCGACTAAGGCTTTTAAAAGAATACCATGATAAACCATCTGCAGGACATCCGGGTAGAGCGAAGACTCTGGAGCTTCTAAGCCGAGAATATTATTGGCCACAGATGCGGAAGTTCGTCGATCAGTATATTAGAAATTGCAATGTGTGCACCCGTAGTAAGGCATCACACAATGCACCTTATGGAGTACTTCGCCCCATGCCAATTCCCGATGGACCCTGGACAGACGTCTCGATGGATTTTGTGACTGATCTTCCTGAGAGTGATGGGTATAATGCGATTTTGGTCGTGGTGGATAGACTAACCAAAATGCGGCATCTAATACCAACGACCAAAGAGGCAGATTCAAAGGAAGTAGCGAAGCTATATATCGATTATGTTTGGAAGCTGCATGGACTACCAGATACCATTGTATCTGATCGAGGAACACAGTTCGTTGCAGAATTCTGGAAGTCGCTTTGTAATCGGTTGGAAATATCACCAAAATTCTCTACTGCATTTCACCCCCAAACAGATGGACAAACGGAAAGAATCAATGCCGTAATGGAACAGTACCTCCGAAGTTATGTTTCCTACCAACAAGATGATTGGGCTCGAATGCTACCAATGGCCGAATTTGCGACAAACAACCATGTTTCCGAAACAACAAAGGTCTCCCCGTTCTATGCCAATTCGGGAAGAAATCCAAGAATGACTTTTGGCCCTTTGGAACATGGTCGAACAACGGCTGAGGATCAAGCGAACCGTATTGCAAGAGAAATGAAGGATGTAGTAGATTTCCTAAAAGAAGAGATGTTTCGAGCGCAAAGGATACAAGAAGAATCAGCCAACAGAAATCGAACTCCAGCTCCTCGGTACCATTTAGGAGATAAAGTTTTCCTATCGACTCGTCATATTCTAACCAAACGACCTTCCAAGAAATTCGACTGGAAACGTATTGGACCTTATAGTGTTAAGCGTATTGTTAATCCCTACGCTTACGAGTTGGAACTTCCCCGGTCAATGAAAATTCACCCAGTATTTCATGTTTCACTACTGTCACCTGATGCGAATGATCCTTTACCGGGACAACAACAGTTACCACCACCTCCGGTTGAGATCGAAGGAGAAGAAGAATGGGAAGTCGAAAATATTTTGGATTCGAGGAAACGAAGAGGAAGGTTTGAGTACTTGGTACGATATAGAGGATATGATGAAGCCTCCTGGCAACCACTATCGGACCTTGAGCATTCACCTGATATTGTCAAACGATTCCACGAGCGTTATCCAGGGAAGCCTAAGCCTACCAGGAGGTAGGCCTTAGAGGGGGCGTGGTCTGTAACGGCAATTAGGTATTTCTGGCTAGGTGATAAACTGGAACGAGGGAAGGAGGTATTGTGCAGTGGAATTAGGATTTGTAATGGGGATTTCTATTATGTTCTTTTGGTTTCTGTTACGCGAAGGTATTAGTCATCGTTGGATTATGGATGGATATATAAGGGGGCGTTGTCTTGTGTTTTTGTTTGTTTTCCTTCTTCTCTTCTTTCCTTACGCAACCACTGTATTTATCCCACGAATACTATTCTTGTCCGCACTACGTCATAGGGCTCTAATCGGTTTATCATACCAGGTAGAGCCACCCATAGCCCATAGTCAAAGCATACCTTTACGTCCACGTCCACGTCTACGTTACTATCTAGGTTGTATTCCTTGGCACTACAGTCTATCGCCTACGGTCCCCGTGATAGAACAAGAATAATATTCGTAGAGTAGAATACAGAAGAAGAAGAAGAAATTTATATTGCTTTGAAGTACAAGACTTATCGCACGCCGACCCGACCGCCTAAAACACGAACCGAACAAAAGAAAGAAAGAAAACCAACAAACGCAAACACAAACACAAACAAACAACAACAAGAACAAAACGAACACAAACAAACGCAAACAATAACAAGGAAATTCCAGAACGACACTCAACCGGAAAGCCCAACGACAAGGAGAAATAACATATCTCAGCGGACTCGAGCGCTGGATCCATCAAAACAAAAAATAAAACCAAAATTAAAGAGTAAGAGGAAACTGCCCTTCCTAATCCCGTCCCTAATCATTTTCCTCCATCCCCTCTTCCAGGTCCGCCTCCGCCTCCGCCGACTCGTACCATTTCGAGAGTTGAGATTGTTTTGCAAATTGTAGGATGAGGTCCGTTCTCAGGTTTGTAAACATCCAGTTTTCCCAGGTCATCGCTCCGGGGATCTTTTCTATCAGAGGGGTACGGATTCGAGCCCACGCTGGGCATTCCATAAGTGTATGATTCGCTGAGTTTTCCATACCACACTGGCATGGGTCGGGGTCTGTATGTACTGCATATTTGTCGATTCGGGTGGTTTGGCACCGGATTCGAAATACTTTTTTTGCTTCCGTAAGGGTAAGTTTCGCTATCTTGGGAGGGGGGCGTAATTCCCCCCGGTGGTGGTAGTTCGGTATTGATTGTGAATTCCATTCTTCCAACAGGTGGTCGCGTAGTAGTTTATTTTGGTTCCACTTATCTCTCGCATTTCCGGGGGTCTAGTATGGGAGTAGTAGGGAGGCGATTCGGTGTAAGCCTGTTCCTTTGATATTTGCTTCTCTGTATGGGAGGAGCTCGATCAGGGATTCATTGTTGGGGTGGGTTGCGTCGGTGCAGAGTATTCTAGTTCCGTACTTTCTTGAGCGATATGTCAGGAGATGTTCTAAGGGGGGTAAGCCTGCTTCTCGGAGGAGTTTAGCTCTTTTGGTCCATCGTGGTAGGCCGGTGATGATCCGGGCCGCTTCATTATATAGTGGTTCGAGGGATCTTATAATGTGGTCTGCGCCAGTCCACCACGCCTCGGATCCGTAGAGTAGACTTGGGAGGAAGCCTTGTGTTATGATGTGGTGGACCGTTTTAACTGTTATGCCTGGCAGGCGGACGGTGTATCGAATCTGGTGGAGGGCTTTAAGGCCTTTTGCGATCGCTGCTTCGATGTGGGGCCGGAAGGAGATGGTCGGATCTATCCAGACTCCTACATATTTCAGCCTCTCCTTGGGGTGTATGTTGGTATTGTTAATTTTGACCGGAAGTCATGGTTGTTGTGTGGATGATGTAGTGGGCCGGAAGAAGATCAGGTCGGATTTATCCGGGTCGTACTTGATTTGGAGTGGCTTAGCTTTTATTAGTCTCTCTCTCATTCGTTCCTCCATTCTCTTGATTGTGAAGCCTGGTGTTTTGGATATTTGCACCAGCGCATCGTCATCGATGTATGTGGTGTCCATCTCTTTCGGGCTGCTTGTTGGGTCCAGGATTACTCCAGCATAGATCATGAATAGTACCGGAGACATGGGGCTACCTTGCGGCACTCCAGAATCATAGGGCTGTGGTTCCTCTAGCTCATGGTTAAATGTAATGGCAGCCATGTGGTTTAGTTATGCGAGGTGTTAGGGTACGAAGAGCAAGGGTTGTATACTGTGGTTGGGATTTGTACAGCGGGTTTCTATTATGTTCTTTCTGTTTCTGTTATGCGAGGGTATGAGTCAGCATTGGGATAGGGTATGGATATATAAGGGGGGCGTTGCCTCGTGATTTCTTGTTTCTCTTTCTTTTTCTTTCTTCTTTACGCAACCTCTGTACTTTACAGTTACGAATACTATTTGGTTCGCGCTACGTCATAGGGTTTACCCGGTATACTAGACCAGGTACAACCATCCATAGTCCATAGTCCACAGTCCCCGTTCTCGCCTTAGGTATACCCTTCGGCCCCATAGTCCATAGTCCACGAATCTCCTACGTCTACTTCTTCGCCTCGGTTGTATTCCTTGACTTCATAGTTCCTACGCCCATAGTCCCCGTTACACTTAGGTTGCGTCCTCTACAGCCAACCGATACAACACTACCTTGCTTAGCTCTGGTCGCGACTATGTCCGACATCACTCAGGATACGCTGTTGCAGCGTCTTTCAGAATTTCTGACCACCTATGGTCCCCTCCCAGCCGATATAGACTTCGGCGAAGAACTTACGGTGGCTCATAGTCTTATTGCTGAGTGTTTGGAGGCTCTCACCAAGTCTCTTGACACCCCCGCGCCACTAGAACCCGTTATCGACACGGCTCAGGAAGAGGTCATTGCCGGCCTCACTACAGAACTAGAAGCAGCCAATGAAAAGGCTGCCGATTTTTGGCAAACCTTGTGCGATAACCAGGAAGATTCTACCGAAATCATCCGAGGTCGCGACGAGGTTATCGTTGCTTTGAAGTTTTTGGGGAAATGCCAGTGCTAAGCGATAGTTCTGTAGCTTTTAAACTTGTAATATTGTAAACCGGATTCCGCTCGCTGAGTGACTGATGATGCCACTAAGACGAAGCGGAACCCTTCCCTATTTATACATGTTGGAACCTATTCAAAGGCCCACTTTCTAATACTAATGAGATAACGATAATGGAATAAGACAATCAACCCGAAGATAACCCCAATAGAAAAGCGCCCCCACATAGTCCCGGTCATCCATTCTAATTCCGACACGTAACCATGAACCCCGCAATTGCCAGTAACCGAGCTGTATCATGCTATTGTCCTAGAGCTACTTCCCTAAGTAGAATGGCCTGCAGCCATAAGCCCCGCTTCTATTCCGTTCCGGGTGAGACACCCAATAGTAAGCGTGCCCTCACAACAGCCTAATACTAGTGTGGTTGCACCCGGTGCCCCTACACCCCTCGGTACCTTTCTATGCTTGTTCCTTCGTTACCCGACCGTACTCACATCACAACCCATCACTCATATAATCCTTGTTCCTTGACTTAGGAGCAGTATTCGTATTTCCTGTAACACTACTCCCCCTTCCTAGACGTCGCCCTCGACCGTTAAAACCTCTCTATGATAAAAACCCTTTGGGAAAAGTCATAGAGTAGGAAAGGTATCGAGCTAGTCTTCCCTAGTCCGCTGTCGTTTCAGAGGTCGTCTCGAGTCGGTGACTGGCCCTTGACTCCGCGTATGGGGCCGAGTGTTGGTGACCGGTTTGAAGTTCTCATCTAAGAGTGCCTCTTGAGGGTCGGGTGTTGCGAGTCGTTTTCGTGTATTCTGTTGTCTGCCCGTGTTGGGATCCTCTCGATAAGGTCTTAGCAACATCTCGTGGAATACGTCATGAATCTTCCATTCTGCCGGAAGATTCAATCTATAAGCCCTGTTTCCTACGGCCGCGGCAACCTCGAAGGGGCCTGTAAACTTGTCCGACCATTTATTGTAACCACCGAGGTTCCGAGTATCCAGCAAAACCTTTTGACCGATTGTGAACCGCTGAACTGCTGGCCCTGGCCTTGACGCCATCCTGTCAAAGGTCTTCTGCAGCGTGTCTCTCGCTGACTCATGGGCTAGGAGAAGGTCTTCTAGGTAGGTGCTTCCCTTGGCATCCAGCTGTCCGATTTTCGCATCCGTTGGCCAATCTGTTCGCGGGTGGAAACCATAGTTACAGTAGAACGGCGATTGTCCTGTCGACGAGTGTTTCGCATTATTGTATGCATACTCACAAATCGGTAGTAGGTCCTTCCATTTCTTTCCTGTTCCGGCGGTGTAGGCCCGGATGTAGGATTCGAGGTGCTGGTTGGTCTTTTCTGTTTGTCCATCCGTCTGTGGGTGGAACGAGGTCGAGAGTCTTCTACCAATCCCTAGTCGTTCTGTGACCGCAGCCCAGAATGCCGATACGAACTGTGTTCCCCTGTCAGAGACAATACTCCTAGGAAGTCCGTGAAAGCGCCAAATGTCTTTGACAAAGGCGTTGGCGGTCTGTTCCGCGTTGATTCCCGTCATTGGAATGAAGTGAGCCATTTTCGTAAAACGGTCCACGACTACCAATACGTTACGGAATCCTGATTTCTCCTTTGGCATTTCTACTACGAAATCCATTGAGATATCAGTCCAAGGTGTGGTGGCTAACTCTAGGGGTTGAGGGAGTGACAAGTGTCTCCGACGTTGCTTGGCTCTCTGGCACACATCGCAAGTCTTGACGAAGTTGGCTACATCCGTGGACATTCCTGGCCACCAGTAGTTCCTATCGATCAACTCAAGGGTTTTATCCCTTCCTAGATGCCCCGCTACGGGTCTGTCATGATGATCCTCGATGACTTGTCTGACCGCGTATCCTGGCACTACCCAACGACCATCGTGGGTGGCCTCATTCGATCCCGGGGTCCATTCAGTGGCAAGCTCCGTTATTACGGCATCAGCTTCCTCTGTCCCGAAGACTTCAAGGTTTGCGTCAGGGAGAGGTTCATCCCGGAACACTCTCCGAACCCATTGTCTGTCCTGTTCATACCAGTCTTGTAGTGGCTGAGGCAGCTCAGTACCTGGTATGTCGTACCACTGATCCAACGGAGTCCATTCTTCCTCGGGGTTGCCAATGATTTCAGGGCCAGTTTCTGCGCTGGTCCGTGATTTCCTGACAAATTGTTCTGCGCTGAGCAACTGTTTTACGGGTTGTTCACGCATTACTCCCCCTTCCATAGCGAACTCTGGGCGCCTTGTAAGTGCATCTGGCTTGCCATTCTTTTCGCCTGGTCGGTAATGGATCCTGAAGCGAAAAGGTGCTATCTTTTCGGCCCATCTGGCTTGTCTTCTCGACAACTTCTTGGTCGTTGTGAAGTACTGTAGGTTCTGATGATCCGAATGTATCTGGATAGGAATATCCGTTCCTTCCAGCCAATGTCTCCAAGTCAGGAGAGCAGAAACTATAGCGAGTATCTCCTTGTCATAGATCTCGTAGTTTACCTCTGCCTCGTTAAACTTGCGAGAGTGGTAAGCTACCGGGTGTAGAATACCGTCCTCGAACACCTGAGAGAGTACTGCGGCCTCAGCCCAGTCACTCGCGTCAGTTTCTATGATCGCTTCACGGTGTTCATCATAGTGTCGTAGTATTGGAGCAGACGTAAACCTCTCCTTGAGTTCATCGAAAGCGCTTTGCTGTTCACTGCTCCATCGCCATACGGAACCTTTCTTCAAGAGATCGGTCATTGGTCGGCAAACTTCGGAGTACCTGTGGATGAACCGTCGTAGGAAGTTGGCGAATCCGAGGAAACATTGAAGTTCCTTGACCTTGGTGGGTGGTAACCATTCCGTGATTGCCTTCACCTTTTTAGGCGAGACCTGGTTCCCTTTCCCTGATAGTACAAATCCCAGGAATTCTACCTCCTGTTTGTACCATTCCGTTTTCTCGAGGTTCCCGTATAGATGGTTTTGTTGCAGTCGCTCCAATATCTTCCTCACAAGAGTCGTATGCTCTTCCTTAGTCTTTGAATATATTAGAATATCATCCAAGTAAACTACTACGCCTTGATCTAAAAGATCCTTGAATATGGTATTGACCATGACCTGGAACGACGCCGGTGCATTGGTTAAGCCAAAAGGCATTACCCTATATTCGAAGTGGCCGTACTTCGTTCTGAAAGCTGTTTTCCATTCCTCGCCGGCAGCAATCCTAATCAAGTTATAGCCATTTTTCAGGTCTATCTTGGTAAAGAACTCTGCTCCTTTCGTCGAATCGGCCAACTCTGTCATGAGGGGAAGGGGGTAGCGATTCTTGACTGTGATAGCATTTAAGCCACGAAAGTCTACGCACAACCTCAGTTTTCCATTGGCTTTCTTCACGAACAGGATCGGTGCTGCTGCCGGGCTGGTGGAGGGGACTATTTTGCCAGAGGCTAGCATTTCGTCCAAGTACTCCCGGAGTGCCTTTTGTTCCACTGGGGAGAGCGCATAGATCGGCCCCCATGGAGGCTGCTTTCCTTCCATAAGGGGAATGGTATGGTCCCATTCAGAGTGATCAGGTAGTCGATCGGCTCCCTCCTTAGAGAAGACGTCGACGAAGTCCTGGTACTCCATTGGTATAGCACTAGCGAGAGTCTCGCCTACCAATGCCCTTGCCCAGAAGGGGTGCTGCTTGATCACCATCTGTGTCTCGGGTGACGTCCTCAACAGCCTGATGACCAGCTCTTCTGGGTCTTCTTCGTATATATCATACATGGTCCTGAAGCATCCCTTCACTTGACAATTGATGTTGTCGAAGGTGACCTTGTTCTGTCCCCAATGTATGGTAGGTTGATGCTCTTTAAGCCATCGATGTGATATGACGAGGTCTTCTCCTGCGAACGAGCCAACCTCACAGACGATGTCTCTGTCTAGATGGTTGCCGACGCGGAGGGTAAGGGATTGGGTGATGTGAGTGCCGGAGTTAGGCATAGGGGTACCGTCAGCCTGTCTGATGATGAGGGGCTTGGGTCGAGGTTGAGTTGGGATCTTGAGACGGTGGACACAGTTCCAGGACATAACCCAGTCCTCCGTTCCACTGTCTAGGAGTGCGTTGACTATTTCTGCATGTTGGGTACTAGTTGCGGGGTGGTTCCAAGAGATCTCAATCTCAAGGCGGGTTTCT